GCCATAGCTGCTCCTGGGCCTGCTGCTCATCAGCAGGCTCTGCCTCCTGTCCCCATCAGCTCCCGAGAGATCTCGGAGAGCAGCTTGTGCTCAGGGGACCGCTGGTATCTCTTCCTGGACCTGCTTCCGTGTGTGACCTTGGGAGGGAGTGGCTTTGCCTTTGGGCCTCAGTTTCCCCATCCAGGAAATGGGGCTGTCCACCTTGCCGTGAGTGCTGTGCACCTTACTGGACACTCCTGACATGTGCCCTGCTATCCCCCCACAAAATGTGCAGTGGAAGTAGGAGGAGATAACCGGGATTATCCCCTCCCCCATTTTAAACTGCAGCCACCCTCTTTTCCTGTTTTGCCCTCTTCATTTCGCTCTCGCCAAGGCTGGATTTTAAGATTTGTTGCTTCCCACGCCCCATTCCTCCCTGTGACGTTCACATCTTCTTGTCACTGGGTTGCGTCACTGCAGGAGGATGTTGCATACTTATAAATATAGGGACTGCTGTGAATTTTATCAGGGGTTGGGGGAGTGTTAACCTCATCCTGGTTATGGAGCGGAAAGCTGGTGTGTATGGCTCAGGCTGCTGATTCAAGCCAGCCCTGATTTTCCCATGCCCCTGTGCTCTTTAAAGATGAGAACTCTTTTATAGTCTGTAGCATTAACTCTTCTGTGCCCGCAGCTGCTTCCTGCAGGGCCTGGCTCTCTCCCCTTCCCTTCTCTCCTGTCCTTGTCCCCACTCGTCTCTGCTACCCTCATGGACTCACAGCAACGCCTCCCTTTCTGCCCAGGCTTAGACTGGTGTCCTCTGAGCAGTCCAGAGTAGTCCTCGGTCTGGCCAAGAAAAGTATCTGCTGATTTTGGGGAAGGCAACTGCAGCGTCTGTTATAGACAGGCTGATTCTGCTTGGTTTGGAGCTGTAAAACATCCATGGCTCCACCAGGTTCTGGTTTCAGTGCAAATAAAGCGAGGTGAGCTCCGGACAAGCAGACTCCTGTGCTGAGTCCCACTGAAGTCAAGTCCCTGGGTCTGCATAGGCATTCATTGCAGAACCACTGGTCATTACAATATCAAGTCACCCTTAACAGCTGGCTTCTGTGTGAGATCAGGGTAAAACGTGACTGCTAGGTTTTAAACAGTGAGAAAAGGGGGCCTGGATTTTTTTTTTAAGAAAGATATTCTTTGCCAGAAAAGGGGGCCTGGATTTTTTTTTTTTTAAGAAAGATATTCTTTGCTTTATATTTTCAACGTGTCTTTAATAAATCAATCCTCCAAACACCCCTGTGAAGTGTGAATTATGATCACCATTTTACAGCTAGGGAAACTGAGGCACCGTGCTTGTGAGTGACTTAGCTCAAGGCCGCAGGGATCAGTATAAGAGCTGGGACTGGAACTCAGAGTTCCTAACTCCTAGGCATGTTTGCTCACCACACCTTTCTCCTTATTGGTCTCTGGAGAGACTGTAGTAATGAAATCGAAGGTGAGGTTAATCAGAGCCCATGTTTCAGGATAAGTAAGGTTCTTGCTGCAGGGGTCAGGTAAGACTTAGTTCTCCTTGTCACATTATTGCACAATTGTCCAAAGTATTACAGTTTTTTCTCGTCTTCTGAATCCTTAATTAGTGCTGCCTGTCTCAGATCAGTGCTCCAATCGGGTATGACAAATCTATAATACAGGCCAGGAAACTTCCCCAAAATAATTCCTAGAAGAGCGTTTTGGGAAAAAATCCAATTGTAATTTAAAACTGATCAGTGATGGAAAATCCACCCTGCTCCTTGCAAAAGTGTTCCAGTGATTAATTACCCTCACATCTTACTCCTCCACTATGTCCGAGTTCCTGGCTGGTTCGTGACCTGTCTAAACTTTTTATTCTTATCAATGATCAGAAACTGCTCTACAAATCAAGATGATTCTTGTGATGTTATCGATAAACTGCAATAGATAGAATGCCTGTGTAAATCAGGGCTCCACATTAAACAAAAGGAAAAAAAATATGTACCTCTTTAAAAACTAACAAGATAGTTTATTATGAGCTTTCGTGGGGCAGACCCACTTCTTCAGTGGGTCCACTTCTTTTGTGGTTTGCCCCACAAAAGCTCATCACCTAATAAACTATCTTGTTAGTCTTTAAAGTGCTACATAATTTTTTCTCTTTCGTTTTACCAAGCTCAGACTAACATGGCTACCTCGCCATTACTTATTAAACTTGATGTCAATTTCTTTTTGTTACCTTCAAACTATTGTTGCGGAGAAAGCCTGGCTTGACTGAGATTCACAGGTAAACTCTGTTACCTCAGTCTCTCAGGGGAGACTTACAAAACCCTTGGTTACTACTTTTGCACTAGGAAGCAGAAATCTATTCAGCACTCAAGACTCAAAAATCCAAGGAGAGGCCTGTAGGGGAAAAGAACTAATGGTTCTTCTGAACTAGAAAAAAATAATTCTATCCATTTTGACCTTGATAGTGTGTCTACAGATTTTTATGCTACAAATGGCAGTCTGCTTGTTTATTTTTAAGAGTGGGGTTACATAACAGTCAGGGATGATCTAGATAATACGTAGTCCTGCTGTGTGTGTGTGGGGGGGGGGCATTGGACTAGATCAGTGTTTCTCAACCAGTGGTACAAGTACCCTCAAGGGTACTTGAGAAAAGTCTGGGGGGGTACATCAACGCAACTGAAATGTGGAGAAAACAGAATTTTTGTTTTAAGTTTGACAGCGCTTTATTGTTTTTGTCCTTTTTACACCCGAAAATTTCATCGCCCCCCCCAGCTACAATTAAGTTGTTTAAACAAATGTGTTGCAATGGAAGAAAAAAATTTTGTGTGTCTGAAAATAGGTACTGAGAGTACTTATAATATTTTTTTAAAGAGGTAGTTTATAAAAAAAGGTTGAGAAACACTGGACTAGATCAGTGGTGTGCAACTCCAAGGGGATCACGGCTGTCTTTGTGAGGGGTCGCAGCGCTGTGATCCGATGGACATGCGGCGGGGATGGAGGGAGTGGCAGGAGAGTGGCTCAGCAATTAAAGAGATTTCGACTATATTTGCTCAACAAAATGTTCCTGCCACTTGTGGTTGTTTTGGGGGTTTTTTGTTTTTTTTTCAACAAATTTGGGTGACACCATCTGGCAGTTCGGGGGGTCACGAATGAAAAAAGGTTGCGCACCACTGGACTAGATGACCTTTTGAGGTCCTTTCCAGTTCTATGACTCTATAATATCTGTGGATGTTATTCAGGCTACAGTAGAATTTCTGGGTAATGCTATCACTGCATCCCATTCTCTCCCCTTGCCCTCGCATAAATGGATATTACCATTTTGATCCACCCCCCCCCCCCAATGGTCCCGGGGGCCAACACCACCCC